CCTACAATTTTTTGTTTATAACGTAGTTTATACGGATTATTTTCAAAAAAATATACGTATTTTGGAAATGTTGAGTCGAATTAGTCTAGAATCGATTAATTTTATGAAAGAAAACCTTTCAAACAGCCGTAGTCCGTAAACTATGATTCCTACAAAATTGATTTATAAAGAACGGAACGTATCTACCGTCTTATAGGGGGATCTACTGTATTATATATTTTATACCTGCGACTTCGCCCGCACAGATTTTGCAAGCAAACCCCATTTATATTCAGTATTTCAACAACCATAATAATTGTTATATAACACCTACCACTGAGAATAATGAGAATTGCTGAGAATCAAATGAACTATTTTCAATTTAATCAATTTTCTGGAATGTTTATAATCGTTCTATAATCTAATCAATATGCAATAACAAATTCAAATTTAAAACGATTTGAACATTTGGTTAAAAAATTGAAATATATAGAAATATTTATAACAATGTCTGAAATGTTATCAATTTAATAAACCTAAGTACTCAATGAAAACTAAACATAGTTGAAAACAAAAAATCGCATCTAAAATAGTACAGTAGAAGCCGTTCTTCAGGTTAAGCCTTAATCCTCTCCCTCTCCCCCCGCAGGAGGAATTTCCAAAAATCCCTTCTTAGTGTGTGTTTTCGTGACATACCCTAACTGTGTACAAAATTTCATGTCTTTAGGTTCAGCGGTTTGCTCTGGGCAGTGATGAATCAATCACTCAGTCAGTCAGGACAAGTAATTTTATATATTTATTAATAGATTTTTTAAAAATCCATATGAAATATAAATGAAAAAAAGAAGTTAAAACATAATATTAAAAAAATACAGCTTTAAAGCCAGAAGATTTATTTAAAAACTGATATTTTTGACTGCCTTTACTAAATTTTAGTGAATGCTTGTTTGAACATTACACATTCTGGATTTTAATGATTTTGATTTAGAACTATTATTTCTGAACCTAAAATGACCAATTATCGAAACTGAAAATACAGTAAAACCCCAATTAACTGAGGTTCTGCATTATCCAAGGCAAATCTTTAAGTGAATACACTACTATTCTTCTAACTTATGAAAGCTTCACATAAATGTACTGAGGATATAAATGCTGTAACACTTTTAATCTTGATCATACCAAGAGAGTGACTGATACTGAGGTGATTTTTTTTTTTTAAATCTCTTTCTTTCCTGTGGACACTAAGAGAACTTTTATCCTATACCCATTGTGAGTTCAGCTATAATGAGGAACAGACTGCCCATGAAAAATAATGCTGAAGTGATGAGAAACATTGCACAAAGAAGAAAGGAACAATTATAAAACAAAAACTCTAAAACTACAACATGTATCACAAAATAATTTGTTTCTGTTATCTTTTATCATTTAGCTTCAATGTGAAACAAACCATTCATACTGAAATACTTAAAAGAACAAAAAAAAACTTTAAAAATGATATTAATTATGCAAATCTTTCATATCTTTTAGATCTGAAATAGCTGTGGCTGCCCATTTTATCCAGTTTTTATTTATCTAAAACAGCATCAGTCCACATTACCTCAAGGGTTCTATCATATTAATTTTTTAAATCTAGTGTTTGGTTCACTAAGAACAAATGTCACAAAATTATAATTTTTGCAGGAAAACTTGAAAACTATTTTTCTTATATTATAATTATTAGGATAATAACAATTGGACATCCTACTTTTAAGAATATTAGCATATTCTTAAAAGTTATAGTTGGATAATTGTTATAGTTTGAGACCCTGCCATTAGAGCAGGGATGGGCAACCTTTTTCTATGTAAGGACCACATTTAAACTTTCAAACTGATGTGGTCTGCACATAAGAAAAAAGAAAAAAAATAAGTAAATCACAAATATTTATTCATATAATCATAAATTAATATAGGTAAGATATACTGTACTTAATGTGATACCTAGGGATTATCCTCGATCATCGGCTAAACTGGACCGACCACGTACATCACATCTACGAAAAAGCTACCAAAGTAGCCCAAGCGCTCAAAACGATAAGCAGAAATAAATGGGGCTATGGTCCCTCGGCGAGCAGGATTCTCTACACCGCGGTTGTTGAGCCCATTATTACGTACGGGGCAGAGATCTGGGGCTCATCGGCTACGAGGGTCCACATCAAACGTAAGTTTCTTTCAATCCAAAGGCTGTCGGCCATAAACACCGCCAAAGCCTACAAGACAGCCCCTACAGAGGCCCTTCTTGTCCTCAACAACACTCTCCCTATTGACCTTAAGATCAGAGAAGCAAATATAAGATATAATTTGCACAAGTTAGCTAAAGGGGAGATAAATCTTGAGACCTTCAGCACTGTTACTTGCAAAGAGACTTACAACAATGAAATTAACCAAATTGCGATGCACGTCACCACCTACGGCCTTGACAAACACAAGGACCTGCAGTACATCCACCCAAGCTTCACCAGCATTCAAAATTCAATACACGATCCAATAGATAATCACTCAATCAGCATTTTCACCGACGGATCAAAATCCGAGCTCGGCATTGGCTGTGCATTCACAGTCTATAAGGGAACCCAGTGTCTCTACCAGAGGTGCAGGAAATTAGCACCTCACTGCACGATCAATCAAGCCGAGTCTCTGGCTATCCTGGAAGCTAATACATGGATTACAAACAACCACAATACAGTGAATCAACACAACTACCAGATCTTCAGCGACAGTCGAGTCGCCATACACCAAATAGCCAAGTGCAACACTAATCTCCCTATCATAAGGGACACCGTCAATAGTATCCGTGCCCTCAGGAACAGAGGCATTAACATAGACTTCCACTGGGTCAAAGGGCACTCAGGGATTGCGGGTAATGAGAGAGCGGACCTTCTTGCCTCCAAAGCACCAACTTTAGCAACTAATATCTCCTACAATAGAATTNTTTTTAATTATTATAAAATGACAAAAAGCGTAATTTTTGAGAATAGGGACGGGTTTTATAAAAAAAATTGGAAATGCTAATAATGAGTAAATTGTCATTAATTTAAGTCCGACACTACTGGAGGTAATTCCACCATAACTTAAAATTTCAGGGATGAAAAACTCCAATAGTAGCATATAAGGAAATACGGAAAACGATCCATTTTATAAGTTAATATATAGTAAATATATAGGGCGCATAAGATTTTTCAAATATATTTAATGAAGGAAAGATAAACAACAAAAATTTGAAATAAAATCGCCTATATTTCGAGTTTAATATACATTATTCAATATGAAATTTCACATTTTTTAAACCGCAGAAAAAAATATAACAACTTTTTAAAAAATCCTCCGTTAAAAATCATTACAGCAACTACAAAAACTTTTTACGTTCCAAGATCGGTTGAATTATCGTCATGATTGTCTTGATTTTCTGCATTCGATGATGTTGATTTTTTCTTCTTCTTTGCAACAAAACTTAGAGTGTCTTTGTCAAAATCAAGAGGCATTATTCCGAGATCACCATCGAAACGATTCTTCGTTATCTGAAAACAAAAATAGTCAATAACAAAAATGAAAATTGCTATAAATTTATATTTTTGCTGCAAAAAATCTTTCACTGTACACCAACATTCTATATATTTTAATAACAAAAATTTTTAATACCTTAAGTTATATATCCTTAAATATAAACAATAGTAACCTTAAATAATACATATTTAAGACATTTTCATTCTTTACTGGATTAAACAAACTTAATAAAAGTTACAACAGAATATTTGTTAGTTTATATGTACTTTGTAAAATGCTTGATGAGACAAATTTCCATTATATTGATATAAACTAACAAAGTGAAGACATAACAAACTTTTTTTCAGCTACCATATATTCACACACCATACATGCCAGAAAGCAAAAAATAAAAACATACTTTAACTTTTTTACTAATCCGTAGATCTTCCTTGGGATTCAACTTTTTAGAATGGAATCATTTGAATACTATAAAAATCAAAATTAAGAACATTCCAAAACAGTCAACTCTTAAACGTACATTCATCATCAACGTAAATATGAATTAAACAAAAAAATAAAACTGCCATAGCATCAGATCCTGTGACTATCTACATTGTCCTCTTACTTGTTAGTTTTAACTAAAAACACTAGGCTATTTAGCATTAAGTAAGAGTTACAGGGCATGGAAGTTCTTACTACTTCCATGCCCTGTAACTCTTACTTAATGCTATAGGAATGGTTTCTGCATCTTTTGCATTTAAGTATAATCCCCTTTAACTTTTATTTGATTATTATTATTCTTTCTGCTGTCTCTATGCACTTGGATAATATGATATCCAAACAAAAACATCTGAGACGTAAAAAAATTGTGCCAAGTAAAAATTTATGACAATCTAGACAGTCAAAATTTTTCTTAGGAGTTTTTCTTTGTAAAGATTAGCTTGGTACCCACAAGATTTTTACCTGTATTATTCTTTTCTACATTTTGCTTCAAAGCATCAAACTAATCTTTATGAAAGAAAAACCCCTAAAATATTTTTGACTATCTAAATTGTCCTAAGTTTTTACTTGGCACAATTTTTTTACATCTCAGATGTTTTTTGTTTAATAATTGTATTATTACATCAAGACAATATCAAAACAATAAATTATCTGTGACTGCCACAGTGGTCACCAAGCACAGACAGAACATGTTGCTAACCAATGCTTTCGATACACCGTTTAGAAAAATTATTATAAAAAGTTTTAATTCACATAAATTTGAGCTTTTGTTATTGACTAACATTTTGAATAAAATTCATTTCTTTCCATGCAATTTTATCTTTATAACCATAAAATTAAGCCATAAACTAAAATAGCTCTATGAGAAATCCCCATGAACTTTGACCTATCGGCCCAGAAGTTTCGTGAGCACCTCACTTATCACAAGAAAGGCTTAAGTGTAAAATCTGAGCTTTCTAGAACCAGTAGTTTTTTCTCTATGAGCATCTGCAATGCCAGATGAAGAAAAAGACTATAATTGATTCCTATAATTGAACATGTGTCATGTCATGTCTGACTGCAACTTGTAAAGGGTGCATCAAGCGCAGCACCCGAGGGCTTGACTGCCTGATATATAAGCTGTGAAACCAATGGCACCCCTCTCTTTTGGCTCTGTTCTGTACATACAAATATATATGTTAAATAAATGTGTAATGTGTTAAGCCTTGTATCCATTTACTTCCTTAGACACTATTATTGGACTATTCTCAAACTATTTAGTAAGATTCATGGGAAACCTCCAGGATTCAAAAACTGGAGTTTATGTAGTATATCTTATGTGGGTTGCAAAAATAGGCACTTTGTGCAGATTTGATGTACAGTAAGAATAACAATGCTAGATTGCTTCATAAGTGTAGGGGATACAGACATGTTGTGGAACCAAGCCAGGATAATTAGAAATATATTGTGAGATCTGAACGTTCAAGGGAGGGTCATTTTAATCAAAATAATAAATTGGAGAAAAGAATTAAATTAATAGAAAATAATATTTTAAACTTCAACAAGATTTTATCTAAAAACGAAGGAAACATCAGATTTTTGAAAGGAAGTTGATTTCCTTTCCCAGGCTAACTCAATGATGAGTCGAGCTTTTTGCACACGTTACGAAATATATTTAGGGATATTTTCCCGCCATTCAAGGCTGTCCATCGAAACGAGGTACTGCCATGCAAGAAGTCCGACATATGCAGTCCGCTGAAGAAGGTATTGCCATACGTAGGAATTTGATATATGACATAGACTGTGCATCCTAAGAAGTCATCATACGAAAACATTAAACTAAAGATATAGCATAAGCCAAGATTGTTGAAAGGAAAGTAGATTTAAAAGAACTTCCCATAGAAAATAGAAGAAGAGAAATACTTAAAGAAGGATGAAGATCCTCACACAGAAGCAGATACGAAAGATACGGTGAAGGTAATATAAGCTCTGATAGATTGATGTAAACTCTCTCACGCGTTAGGTTAGAAATAAGATAGTTTAAGTTAGATTTAGATTATATTCATTCCTTGTATATTTTATTATTTGATTTATTAAATATTTTGATTTGTTTTATAAAATGGTTTGGTTCTTATTAGACATTCATTTCCATTCAAGTTTCCTTAGCTCCTCCGAATCCCGAGTTTAAGGATAACACGCGTTAATCCGCATTTAAAAAAAACTGATTAACTGGTGTCGGGAATCCTGACGAAAGGAAAAGGGTGATTATGTGATCATCAGATTCCGCTCTAAATTAACATTCAAACTGTAAGTCCCTCCGCACTCGATTTTCTTTGAATAGAAAAACCATCCTTGTAAGACAAACAGAGGACTATTCTAGAGAATAGTTGCTGATTAAGAGGTACAACAGTCTTACCACTCTGTATCCAAGTCTAGGAAGATTCTTGCTCATTATGCTTTATTATCTTTGGCTCTTGTGTTATGGGTGTATGCCTTTCAATCAGTGTTTGGAAAGCTGACAACTTATACATTATCAGATCATGTAAGGCTGCTGGTATATACAGCAGAAAAATACTTTTTCATATTCTTAGACTCCTTTTGATTTGATTTATTTACTTTATAATCCATTTTCATCATTATGGCTAGCCAGATCTGAATTAGCCTCAATGAGAAGTGAGGAGTTCTTGAATCCAAATTAACCATAAGTTATAAGGATCAGATCAGATTCAAGCCCAAATCTCTCACAGCAGCAGAATGTTTTATTGTAAAGCAATGCAAACAATAGTCCATTTTTTTTCTACAAAAAGAACTTTTTTACATTGATAAGATGGAAAAGAATATTTATTGAGCAATATCTTGATAAATAGTAATGAGTGAAAGTTGAATAATTAGTTTATACCCTACTCATTTCTCTTGGTTACAAGTATTTACATCAAATATTCTCCCATTAGCAAAAAATGCAACAATAAGGTTTACTATTGATTTGGAGTGTCTCTGTTCTATGCCAATATAGCAAATGTTTAATTTAGGGATTTAACATAGAATAAACATAACAATGCTTTAAAAAGTTAAATTTAATAACTTTTGGTCCATTTTTTTTAAATTTGAATATTAAAAATTTACATTTTATTTTAAATGCTTAAAAGTTCTTAATTTGTTAAAAAAAAAATTTCATTTGTAAGAATATACCTGTAAATATTTCCTTCCACGAATTGTAGTTGTTCTTTTATCTTGTAAAATCATAACATTATCTGCTTCCTGACTAGCTTTTGCTCCTCCATATATAGAATGAGTATTTAGCTCTTCAAGTTCCTTAAAAATAATTTTTTTAATAAATATTAAATGTAATCACTTCACAAAAATTAACTTAAATTTTATTTTAACAATTATTAACATATTGTTATCATGTAGGACTTTTATTCCTTATTCTTTGATAGTGATTGTTGCATGGCATCTCAATATATTTTATTTAAATATATAACATCATAGGAAAAGTTCCATATTGTATGGAACTTTTCCTTTAACAATAGAGTCATGCTGGTCACCTATCTAACATCTTTTGGGGAAAATTTTTAAATTGAAATAACATGCCTTCTGATTTGCATTGGAAGTTCGTATGTAGTTAATTGAGGCCCCTGTCCCTATGTTTTCCATATATCTAACTCTGTTCTTGAGAGTAAGGAAAGACAGACAAACAGATGGACGACAGTGGAAATTTGTAGATCTACAATTTTTTCAAATTGCAGCCCAACAAAATTTATGTAATTTTGACAACTTTATTACTGTTTCCACCTTGCAGGCACTAAGAGGGTTCTTTTTTTAAGCCCACTGTTTTCATCCAGCTAAAATGGGGACAGCTAAATGATAAAAACAGAATCCAATACATCTAGGTTGATCCAAAATGAGGAAAAGAAAAGCTTTTTATCATTAATTACTGCTGCACGGTAGAGAAATGATAAAAATTTTGATTAATTGTAAATACAGTAGTAGTAATACAATACCTTTCTTGGATGCATGATAAGGGTGATGTGACAGTTGTGTTTAGTGGCAAACTCCCTAAATTCTGATACCATTATATCCTGACGAAAAAATCTATCCATCGATGAATTCATATTTCCAGTGCCAAGCATAAATTGTACATTATCAATTATAATATGCTCAGTTTTGTAAAGCTTAACTGCATGAGTCATAGCCTGTAAAACAGATGATAATTTTAAAATATATTTTCAAAACTTTATTCCATTTAGATAATTAGAATTTTAAAATTTAACTGACCTCAATTACATTATTTAACAGTTCCTGACCATGAAAAGTCATGAAATACAATGGAAGTTGTTCAAATTGATCAGCCCAGTAATCGTATTTTTCTGGAAACTTTTTCAATGGAATTCTACAAGTATATAAATATTATTCTTAAATGAATTATTTTATTACATTGTCTTTTATAATATGATCATTCAAAATTAAACAAATTTAAATCAATTTCTATTAATAATATCTTGTTTCTTTAAAATTATATTACTTCAGTTTAATAAAATATACTAAACTAAGCACCTGCAGAGCTGTAATGAAAACGATATGATGGCATAAAACATACAATGCATGTAGTCCAACAATAACATAGGATATCTTGTTGAATAGTTATATTGGTGAGAATACACATGTATGAATGGTCTCCCTAAGTTTCAGGAATCACATATATCTATGTAACCCAAATTGCTTGCAAAACTTAAGTCTAAATTTCCAGATTATTTTTTGGGCACTTATCCAGGCTATTGACTCAGCAAGAGTTGAAGTTCTATTCAGGATCAACAGTCTCTTTCAAAATTTTCTGTAGTATTTAATTAAATTGAAATTCTCTAAGTATTGATCTTTAGATAAGAATGGGTCAGCCATAAAGTACAAATTCCATTCAGTGCGCATGCTCAATGGTGATGATGTTTCAAATGAAACTCTAACAAAATTTACAAAGGAAAGAATTAGTTTACTTTATAAAGAAAATGGCACCCAGTGATATTGATGTTTTTAAATCTACTTGAGTATTTAATTGTGGATTTGTGGATTAAGAGGAGAAATGATCAAAATAACTGTCCACCTGAATCAATCTAATAAAAATATTTCAGATAAGACTGCACTAGCAAATTCATATTTTCAATTTTAGGAACAGTCATTTTGTTATAAATGAATCAGTCGAAATGTATAATGAAAGAAAGAATAACAATGACATCATTCTCGCTTAACTCATTTGACTTTACGAATGTACCCCATATTGTATTGAAAACCCTATATACTGTGTCAATGACCTGTAGACAGGTTTGAGTTAAGGTAGTTTGACTTACTGTATCTTCTTTGTCATACCAGATAAATACTAAAAATTAAATATAAAAATAAATTACAATAAATAAAGAATTTATTTTTATTACTTACTGGGCAAATTGTGTCATCATCATTTTCAAAAGTCGTTTATTATTAATCTCAAAACTTCCCCAAAGTGTACAAACCTATAATACTATTTCATTAAATATAAATATATTCCATCATGTTACAATAATCTCAATAAGAATTAATATCTTACTCCTTGCATACACAAATCAAGAGAATATTCACTAATAAAAGTTGTTTTGCCCGATCCAGTCGGTCCAGTAAATATAGTTAGTTCACCCGGTCGATGTCCCTTTAGCAATTTATTTAATGCAGGAAAACGTTTCCACTGAAAGAATTCAATTTTTACATAAAAAATTTTAAATATTTAGAAAAATAACAGAATAGAAAATTTTAAATTCTTAATGATTACAATGCTTTTCATTGTTGTAAGCTTGGATATTTAGTTTTGCAAAAGAAAAAAATCAGTTGCCATAATATATATATGACAGATATTTTATTTTTCCTCTACAAACAAATACATCAGAAATCACTAATGTGCTTTGTTTGTTTAATAATATCTTCCAAATATGTCAAATTTTTAAAAAGTACACATGAATACTTCACTTTAATTATTCAAACAAACATTTTAAACATTAAAATTGAATCAACTGAACAAAATCTCTAAAAACAAATAATTTACCTAAATTATACATATTTTTTCATGTTATTTAAAGCAAATTTCAAGAAAATTATAATTTATTCATAATTTTTTAACATTTAGTAATAATTTGTTGTTAAATTTGTTCAAAATGGTTCAATTACATATTCAATAATTTTTCTATTAGAAAAAAAATTAAAATTTAACACACCTGAATACCTTTAACCTGTTCTGCATTATCAAATTCCTCAAAAACTTGATTTCTTAAAGAATTGGCAGTAATTATACATTTATGAAGATAAGGTTGAGCTTTTTTTAATATACGTGAAAGATTTTCTTTATTCTGTAGACTTACAAGTGGCCCCATGTTACTGTTGTCATTCCTGTTAAATTAATTCATTTTATATCATATCATATGGTAGTCCAATATGAATTTAGATAAGTATAGTTCACGTTTGCTTCAGATTGAAGTTAGACTGATAAACATAGATTTATAATGTATCCGAATATGTTTTATAGAAAATTAGATTTTTCTTTAAATAATCATAAATAGTAATTACTTGTATTTTGTGACTAGATCTGATGACAGTGTTAGGCTATATATTCACAGAAATAGATGTCTCAACTATAAAGAAATTCTGTGAACTTCAGTTTATAAAAGTAAAATGACATGTTATTTATCTTTTTATATCATTTTCTATAGAAATTATTTATTTCATTTTAATGTATACTCTCTAATCGTGCACGACATTATTTCACTTATTTTTTGTTAAAAGGAGTAAGTAATAATTTCAGAAATTATTATTTACTCCTAGCATTGTATGAGAAAATCTGAAATTTAATAATACTAATTCTCTTTCAGTAATTGTATTGCATAAAAGCTAAACAAAAAGTCTTCATTTTCACATCTATCATATCAATCATAGACGTATATCTTTATATATTCCATTGAAACACGATCACTACCAGTTAAAAACTATTCTTTTATTTCTAAAGAAGAATTTTTTAAAATGGATTTAAACGAAAAACAGAAAGCATTCGTTCATTGTTCGTTAAAAATAAAATTTTTATAATTTTCATAAATTGAATTGAAAAATTTATAACGTTATTTAAATTACATTACATTAACAATCAAACACATTTTAGGTTCACAGTAATATTTATTAAAATTTTTATTTTATAAAAAAATTTAAAGAACATAAAATGAAAGTACTTGCTAGAAATTACTATAATTGAACTAATGATACATCAGAAAAAGTGGTCTATAGAATTTAAACAAAGAAATTGAAAATTTTTGAAAAACAAAATGTGTAATAGTTATCATTAGCGAAGAGAATGAAATCAACTGCAATCAATACGAAAAGTGTAAAATAAAACAAAATAGCATCGCTATTGAAACAACGTCTAAAATTGAAATACTTCTACAGAAAAATATCTCTGCTAGTTACAAAATAAAACTATAATTTAACTTATACATATATCGAAATACTACAGATTCTATGTTTTAAAATGATAATATTATTAAAATATTTTGTTGATTTTTAAAGTTCTTCCATGTAAAGGAATCTCAAATTTCCAACTCTCGTTAGAACTTACAAAATCTAATTCGGATTAAGTCTACTTATTACAAAATAAGTGTGCTCGATCTCTCCCCTCATTCCATTAAAATTATGAATACAAATATATATAAAACACTTTTTTATCATTTAATTTATAATATACTTAATTTATATTACTTTTATAATACGTTTTTTAAATGAAATAAATATATATTTGGATGCCCTTCTGTGTTTGGAGCTCAGACCACAGGATCTTCTAATCTCCTTTTATTTAGATTTAATTTATAATCTTATTTTTTGGAATATTTTTTACCCGCATACTTGAAAACATTTTCAATATTCGAATGATTCATGTAACTAAATTTCTTTTAAGTATAAAATTTGATTTAGAAATTAAAAGAATTTTAAATAATTTATATTCTTTATAGCTGTTAAACTATGGATCTCTTTTAAATCAAATTTGTTTAACTGTAATTATTATCTACTTAATACTAAAATAATACAGATTCATACACAATCCTTATATATAAATTATTTTTAAAATATTAAATTTTTATAAAGTAACTAAAAATTAGGGGAAAATATGAAAGAAAAGTACTTTTAACATGTAATTAAAGTGCGCCCTGTACGTAATGGAAAGACACGTATTAACCGATTATGGTGTATATATGTTACTATGTTATAATCATATGTTACGTTAAGTAAGAAAATAGACATGTTTAATACAAAAAGTGATACTTGCTGATTTGATAATCATTGTTGATTTCGATGATTACCTATTAATTTATTTTTATTTCAGATTTCTTGAAGTTTAACATCAGACCTTACGTGTCATAAATAATAAATCAGATAAACAAATTACAGAAATTAAGCTGTAATTAGGCATTTTTTGCACGTAATTTCTGACGTCATTATAAAATGAAGCTCTGATGAATATAAACGATAATCTTATATAATATTAATAGCTCACACTATATTTTATTTACATTTTCTTTAATTAAATTCGTCGAAGTAGATACTTTTACTATGTTCTTTCGATCAAAGCTTCTTTAGTATTTTTAAAGTAGAAGTAATATTTAATGTACTTATAATTACATAAGAGTAGAATTATTAAATCTGCTCCAAATATTTTTTACATTTTTTTTTCTTTTCTTTTGTAGAAGAAAATTTCTTCCTCTGTGTTAAATTTAATGTTTATATTACATTTAAATTCTTTATTTTTTTTAATTAAAAATTTATTTTATTGTTATTTTTTTGAAATAAAGCTTAAATCCTGTTAAATCCTTATTACTTTTTTGCTTTAAAAATCTAAACAAAGTTTTAAATTGAAAGATTTTGTGGCATATTGGCATTGAATTATAAGGATATTTTTAGTTTTATATAAATTTATAATGACTGAATTATACAGAAACTTTAACATTTCATTAAAATTTATGAAAAATTCAAAAATTTATTGTTTTTTCCCCCAAGAAATACTAATTTTTTAGTATTAACTAAGGTATTATAGAACGTAATTCTTATTGAAATATTTCAAACCCATCGATAGGCCTATCTCAATATCTTAAACTGTAAGATTCTATAGAGGCTAAAGTTTTAATAATTAGTTTTCTTTGTTCAACCAATTTGATATTATCCTGTCTCATTCATCATATTGTTTCTGTTATTTACAATAGAAACATCTGTCACTGTCGACGACGCTTATACGATGTAAATCCTGTAATATTGTTTTCTACTATGATTGATTCTCAGGATACCTATTTTATTTTACTCTTATAGAAGCTACTAGAATTGAAATATAGTCCAATGTATTATATATATACATCTCGTACAAAAGCGTTGACTGACGTAAAAATAAATGTTCTTGGTCTGAAGGTTGACGTTAAAATAAGATTAATCTAATAACTAAGGATGCTAGATTGTGATAAAACTTATATACCCAAGACTTTCGTTTTTGTCATATTGATCTTCCAAAATAAATTCGAGAAATTAGACTTGGAAATATCACTATTTTAATAATGAAATTATAAGTTTTTTTTTTTTTTTAAAATAAGTACCGCCTTGTCGAGCTTACAAGTTCATCGTGGGTTCAGCCAGGCCCAAAATGGGGCCTGGGTGGTGGGAACGAAGTCCGGGACAAACCAGATCTGAAAAATTCTCGGAGAATTGCTCGCTCGGATTGTCCAAAGTGATAGACAAACGTCTTAACCACAACGGCCATTCGACCGGCCATTATTAATATTAAAAAATAATAATAACAAATTACTTTAAATAACTTGTATATCAATAAACAACTTCAAAATGTTATTTATCTTCAGATTTCAAATGATTTTATTAACTTCTACTCAAATTTCATATATAAAAAATAGTATTTATTTTCATTACTTTTAAAATAATGCTTAAGGCAGTCTACAAAATTCAGTCATTGATAATAGTTTTTATCAGTTAAAATAATCCTAATCTATGTTAGATAATTTAATTTCAAAAATAAATTGATACTGAAAGTAAAGCGTTGTTTCTATATTTTTAAATTTTTCTAAACAATGTTTACTTAACAAGTAATCAAGAAAACAAATGAGTATATAATTAAGTAAAGTTGTTTAAAAAATGATTAAAATTTTTATCATTATTGTTATTGTTTTCCGGTTTCTACTTCTTGTTGATCAGGCTATTGAACTGAATCCCTTTATCTGTTCCACTTCATTATTCTTTTTAATATATTTTTACGCTTATAAATCTTCTCGCNAGCTCGGCCTTGGCTGTGCATTCACAGTCTATAAGGGAACCCAGTGTCTCTACCAGAGGTGCAGGAAATTAGCACCTCACTGCACGATCAATCAAGCCGAGTCTCTGGCTATCCTGGAAGCCATTACCTGGATTACAAACAACCACAATACAGTGAATCAACACAACTACCAGATCTTCAGCGACAGTCGAGTCGCCATACACCAAATAGCCAAGTGCAACACAAATCTCCCTATCATAAGGGACACCATCAATAGTATCCGTGCCCTCAGGAACAGAGGCATTAACATAGACTTCCACTGGGTCAAAGGGCACTCTGGGGTTGCGGGTAATGAGAGAGCGGACCTTCTTGCCTCCAAAGCACCAACTTTAGCAACTAATATCTCCTACAATAGAATTAGCATCACCCATCTCAACAATCTGTTGCACGACATAATTCTCAAAACTTGGAAATCCAGATGGGATAATGGCAATACAGGCAGGCTCACCCACCGCTACCTCCCTTCTCCTTCGGACTGTCCTAAATGGAATTTCAATACCACCTTCCAGCTAACACAACTGTTAATGGGGCATGGTAACTTTAATTCTTACTTGCTGAGGTTTCTAAACAAAACCGACGGCAAATGCACTTGTGACCTCAACGAAGAAGAGGACCCCGAGCACCTAATCTTCCGCTGCCCACTCTATATAACCCAACGAAAGAAACTCAGGGATGCTGTCTACAACAAAGGACAACTATGGCCGTGTGACCTTTGTATGTTTTTTAGCGACAAGGACATCATCAATGCATTCAAAAACTTTGCCACCGAAGTTAATAAACTCAATTAATCTGCTTTCCTTGTTCGCATATGGTTACCATCTTCATGTATTTGTATATCCCAATATCTCAGCTGTTAACAAAAATTGTCGCGCATTCCTGGCTAAATGCCAGCCTTGTACATAGTCTCATTTCACTTATACTGTTCATTTAATATTTTTTGCTTAATGTCTTTTGTCTTTTAATAAACCGGTAATTATTGTCGCGTATATATGCTATATTGTATCACATTTACTAATTCTGTATTGTAATTGTATTTGTATTTGTA